AATATTGTGATATTATTGATAAAATAAGAAAACTTATTTGGTGTGTTTGGTTTAGTTGATTTTTTTAACTTATAATTTTTTTTTCTTAATACCTATTTAGGATGTTTAGAAACACAAACTTATAGACTAATTTCACACTATTAAGTAATAAATATTAGGTGTTTTATTAACTATTAACTAATAATTATAACTATCATTTGTTCCTAATAGCTAAATTGAACAAAGCTATTATTATTATTATTTTAAAACCTCACTTGATATGGTTGGCTGAACTAGACCCAGTTATAACAAGTTGGCCATATACTCTAACATGTTTTAAAGAAAAACCCACAAAACTTGACCAACACTGTAAACCTATTATTGGGTTATAAAAATCTCCCATTAACAATTTCAAATCAAAGTCTTGTGGCCCATAATATTAGCGTAGGTCTAGGTCCTTGTCATTCGCTTAATTTAGTCTTTGTTTGGTATTGTTTTTTTTTTAGTTTTTAATTTTAGTTTTTATAAATTTTATAACTATTGAAAAGTAAAATTAAAAATAAAAAATTTAAGTGTTTGTATAATAACACTTTCATTTCCATTTTTTCAAAAATTTAGCAATTGGATGGCAACCAAAATTAAAAAACCAACAACAAAAATAAAAAACAAAACCTGACTTATTTGGTAAGTTTTCAAAACAAACAACCAAAATTAGAACTGTGTTTAGTTCAAAAAATGGTTTCTCTTTATTGACACCTATATTTAGCCTAGAGTAAAAATCAAGAATTTCTTTTTAGAATGAGTTATTAATGTCAAAGTCTATGCTCATGAATTACTTTATAAATATCTTTTTTGTATGTTAAAACGATGAATTATATAATAATAAAAAGACAATTCTTTCCTTTCTACCCTCTTCATCCACTTTATAAATATTATCAAGGTTTGAAAACAAAAATACAATTTTAGTACCTGCTTTTTTTTTTTGGTAAAACATTTCCAAAATCTTGGAAATTTCTTGAGAATACATGTCATTGGTTTTTTTTTTTTTTAAGTTTTTATTAAAAATACTGTTAAAATTTTGGCAATAAAAGCAAAAGGTGAATAACGAGCTATTTGTGTTTTTCATTTTGGTCAAGATAAATATTGCTTGGTTGAAATTGCAAGTCAAGGTCCTTGTTATCCATAATATTTATGCAAATGCCTTTACGCTATTACAACAAAACTTCAAATAATGACTAGGGTAACGAAAATAAGGACCATTTGCGATAGTCTTTTTCAATGCTGATATTAGGTATATCTCATTCTTAAAAAGTGAATACAATTTCACAAAAGATTAACTATATGCATTGAGAAAGAAGAAAACTGAAAAAAAATTTGAAAACTTGGCAACTAAGTAAAATAATTGAATTGGATAGTGATTGATGTATATTATGGTTGCATACAATGCATATTACATTTATTAAAAATTTATTATTTTTTATATGAAATTAAAGATAGATAAATTTAAAAATATAATCATAAGTACAAAATGTAGGAATTAGTTAAACTGATTGCACTTATATTATATTTTAATAGATGAATTAGGATGAGTATAAAAAAATGTATTGAACCTAATGCGAATAAATCATTTTTCAATTGAATTAACAAGATGCTCTAGGGGTTAAATCTTTTTTATAGAATAATCCAAAATTTTAAGTGTTCTTTTAGCTTCAAAAATCATTTTTTTTAATGAGAAATAAAATTTCATTGATATAAGAAAGCCATAAGAATTCCAAAACCAATTCGAATAGGGTAATATGCTAGAGATTTTACACTCATAAAATGCATGAAAATGCAAAATCAAATAACATAATAACTACAAGAATATTGTGGCTAGATCCAATTTTAAGATTTAGCAATTCACATTTTAGCATAATCCATCCAAACATAAGATAAATTGGTTGGGCCAAAAAATTTAGCTAGGGATTCCATCCCCAACCATGCCCTCAACAGTCAAAACAAATGTGACAACTAATCTGGAGTCCAACCAATATTGCATTCAAGTTGTCATCCTCCTACAAAAATGAATTTTGATAAAAGATATCAAAAAAGTCAAGCTAGAAACCCTTAGAAACGTTCACTAGAGAGGAAGAAACTCTCATAAGAGAGGAGAAAACTCTCACCTTTAATCTACCCTAACCATTGAGGGACAAAGAGACAACAATGCCTAAGGGGTTAGCTTCAAAACTCTTAATTCATAATTCAAGAGTTGCTTTGCTGAGTGGAAGGGGGTTTAAATCCCGCAGTTGAAGAAGGTTGATTTTCTCATCATCTGACTTGTAGTAAATAGGGGCTATTGCTTGTTAGTAATATAGTAACTCATAGAGCTTGCATAAAGACTTCCATATAGCTAGTGATGTTTAATTGGTGGTCTT